GTATAATTAACTAATATGTATGTATATATATATATATATATATATATATATATAACACTCAAAAAAATATCTTAGGATTGATATTTTTCATAGCTTTATATATAAAGAAAACAACAACAAGAAAAAAGAAATTATTTTAATCAATATGTAAACATAATTTATACTATTTATCTATCAAATTCAGTAGATAGTATTAAAGAGCACTAATAAAATGTATTTTACTCAATTATTATGAATATCTAAAATAATTAAATTTTTGAGATTTTATAAAATAATATATATCTCAGATTTGTGCCATTTTTTTAACGCATTACATAATCATTAATATTATTTACATTATAAAGTCTACAAAAACTTCTGAAATTAAAAATTATAATTTTAATAGCGAAAATAAAATATGCAAACTACATATATATGTATAAAAATTTTTTCTAAAGTATATATATGTATAATTCTAAATATATACATATATGTTATTGTAAAGATATTTTCAACATTTTTGAAATTCTAGAAAACTAAAATTTAAAAAAAAATTATATTTTTTTCATATTTCATTCTTCACAATTTATTTATATTGCAAAAGTGAAATTGTGCATTTAAAAATTCGACCACAATAATTATTATTAATGTTGTTATTATTATTATTATTATTATTGTTATTGTTATTATTATTATTATTATTATTATTATTATTATTATTATCATCACCATCATCATTATTAGTAATAGTACCTTACTTAGACTGCACTGTAATAGCAACTTCACCTGTTCGTAATTTTATAATTGATTTGACATTTACATTATATATCCTATATTCAATGAATTTTAATCAGTACATCGTTTATTTCGCTTACGATGATAATTTCTTGCTAATTCATGAATAATCGTTACTAAAAAGTAACATACCATCAATATTACAAATTTATCAAACAACCATGAAATTGTTGTTGCTCCATCCTAAAAACAAAGTAGAAATTTAGAAATATATGCATGCATTATATATAAAAAGACATTTAAGAAGATCATACCATTGATGTCTTGTCATGCAACTTTTTTTTTTGTTCAATAAGGTATTTTTTCAATGGTTCTTGAAATTTTGAACCTATAAATGGTACAATTGCAAGCAATTTTATAAATTTATCTAGAAGTTCTTCATTAAAAGCTATAATCACTGCAAGTTGTTGAATATGCATTTTTATAATCGCCTTTCCTATAAGTGTAGCTCCAAAAAATGTCCAGAAAGGAATTAAATAATGACCACATGTTAAACCAGCAAGATCAAATAATGGATTAGGAATCTAAAAAATATTTTTTGTAAATATTTAATTATAAAAAATAGTTTGAAAATATATTTTATTTAATAAATATTTATGTGAAAATCTTTTTTAAAGATATAATTAATTTAAAATATAATAAATATAATAAAATAAAGATATAATTAATTTAAAATATATATATATTTATTATTGACTTTATATATTGATAATAATATTAATGATGATAATATATATATATATATATTTTAAAAAATAATTTACTTACTGAAGCACAAGCAAGGATTCCCCAAAATCCCGCTTTTTGTACAAAGTGTTTCATAGTCAATTTTAGCCGAATTAATAATGATATATTTTCACCATTTTCTAAAGCTTCTAAAGCTTCTAATTCTTTTAAATCTTCTTGATCAAATTCTTCAGTCCTATTATTTTGTCTACTGGTCCGAGCAGCTCTAGCCATAAAATACGGTGGTAGTTCACCAAGTGCAGTACCAGCACCCCAAAGCATAGCCTCTACCCGTACTTTTCTCATAATATTTAATATACCTGCTGTCCACATTGGATCAATTGTTGTGGGACATATTATTTGATCAGGATATGGTGGTTCAGGAAAATTAAGAGCACCGCATTCATATGCAGCCATAGTAACAGCTGCTATATGTGGTCCTAAATAAAGTACAAAAGTGTGTAAGCCTGTTCCAAGACCTACACTGGAAAGAACACCTAAACCTATCCAATATAACCACCAAATCACTTTTGTTTCCCATGCTTTTAATATCTGTAAATATAAAAATATTGTATTAATTAATATTTAAGACAAACATTATATAAAACAAGAAGAATTTCAATTTGCTTTTATATTTTCAACTTTAATTGTACATAATAGTTAAATATAAATAAATAAAAATTTATATCTTCCAATAATCTTATTTATATGTATATTGATATTTCAAAATTTACCTGTTGATGTGGACCAGAAATTCTGCTTAATATCAGAAATAATATTATTATTGAAATTATGCTCCATACTGTCTTTTTATAATGTAATGCTTTTTTTCCTAGTCTAACTATATTACTAAAAAGTTCCCGGAAAAAATAATTCAATGTAGTAATTGGATGTTGCCATAATGTTAAATGTTCAGAATCTACATATAATTCTGTATTTAAATTATTTAAATCTCCTGAAAATGGTGCAGATCTTTTTTCTTCCACATTCTGTTGAGCACCATTAACAGGTTTTGAATCTTTCACACGTCGAATGGCAGTGGTATTTTCCAACATGATACTTCCTCACTGATTATTCTGTAAAAATTTAAAAAATTTTCATTTATTTAATAAGTAAAAGAATAAGAAACATATACAATATGTTAAAAATAAATAAAATATTATATATAGTTATATCACATATGATGTTACAATCCTTATTACTTGATATTAATATAATAAAACATTTTATCAATTGATGCACAATGTTAATAAATTTGAATTAATAAAAAAATAAAAAATATCAAATTAATTAATATACAAAAATCTAAAACAATATTATTAAAACAATTACATATTTTAAAAAAATATAAGTAAGATATTGATAAGATATATTTTAAATATAAATTAAATAAAATTAATAACATTAAATCTAATTATATTAATGAATTTTAATAATTAAAAAAAAATGTTATTAATAATTCTTAATAGTTAAATAATAAATAAATAATATACAAAATAATAATTAATGATTATTATTTTTATTATGCATATATTTATAATTGAATTTCATGTGTAAAAAATAAAAAATAATTTATAAAAAAATTATAATAAAAAAACATATAATAAATATATACTTAAAAAAATGTATTCTTATTATATGTATATCTTATTATAAAATATAATTCTAAAAACTTCTTCACATAAATTAGTTTCAAAAAAAAAAAAGACTTTTTATATAAAAATCTTCATTATAAAATTTAAGAAGATACTTTATAAGAACATTAAAATTGATTTTTATTATTAATAGATTAGTATAGTTATTTACTTATTATGATTTATATTATGTATATAATTTTTCCAAAATATTTATTATGTATAAGAAGTTAATTTAATTATATAGTATTAGATTAATAATTTTACATATAAATTAAATATGATTTAAATTTCTGTAATAATAAACAGCATACTGTATATGAATACATTCTATACCATATTTGCTCTGTTTCCTGAAATTTGCAGGTGATGTTTTAGTAAGCCTTTAAATTGTTTGTGATAATTCATAAAAGTGGCATCATTGTAGAACTCATTAAGCTTCTGTTATATCCATATAAAAAATTCTGTACAAAACTGGTAACAATTACATTGGAGATAATACTCATCTTTCGATCTACTTTCCTTTATAAAAAGCTGTTAAACTGTATCAATCATTTTACATCATTAATTACTAATACTATTTTAAAAATAAAAAAATTTTAATAATCATTTCTATTTCAATATAGATTATTAATCATTTTTATAATATAAACTATAAATATTAATTTTAAAACATATTAAATAAAAATGTATCAAATATGTATGGTAAATTCTGTAATCTGTGTCATATCATATAAAAAAAATATATAATTTTTAAAAATATATAATAAGTTAATTTTAATAAGTATAATTATATAATAAAATGATTTTTTCTATATCTTATCAAAAAATTAAATACATATTAAATATATTTATGAATATATTGAAATATTAAGTTATGTTTCTGAAACAATATAAATATATACTATATGAAATAAATGTAAATACAGATATGACACACTATATATATATATATAAATATATATATATATATTTTTATTTTTATTCAAATAAAACTTATTTGATATTATATCATTTTGAAAAACAATTTAAATACAAAAAATTATTTGCATTATATTTCATTTGTATATAATTTACATAATAATAGAAATATAAATAACTATTTATTACAACTATTATAAATTATAAATGATCTCAATGTTTCAGATATATTATAATAATATATAGTTTAGTTTATTTTTTAGATAGATTATAAACCATACATACCATATAATTCACAAAATAACATTTATATATAAATATTAAACAATGACATCATTATATTTATATTAAAGTAATACACTTAAAATAAATTATAGTAAAAAATATATGTATATATTATACTTATATCTAAAAATTGATAAAAATTATAAATGTATATGTAATAAATTAAAATTATAACTTATTATAATATAATGAACCACAAATATAATATTTTGAATTTTATTTATCGTTAAGTTTGTCATTAAATTTGAAATAAATTATGCATTACTAAAAAAAAAATAATTGAAATAAATATAATATTTATTCAATTTGATAAAAAATTCTTCAAAAAGATTAATCTCCTATTTGACTTAAAAAAAAAATTGATATTTTCATTTATAAAAAAACTGGAACTAATACTTTATATGGATACATCTTATACATTATTAATATATAAGAAAATACCTCAAAAAATTCACATAGCTTATAATCAAAATATTATTATATGTATATTTATATATATTTATATTAAATACTATTAAAATAATTTATTCCAAAATATATATTTATATACATTTGAAATATAAAAAAAATTAATTTTTAATAAAATAATTAAAAATATTTATATTTTTTTTAATTATTTTGTTTATTATTATTTTTTTTTAAATATTAAAACTGACAATATTAAAAACTTTTATGATTTTTATCTATAATGATTTGTAAATTTTATAAATTATTTATATCTCAAATAATATATTTTTTTAAAAATATACATATACAAATAATAAACAATCAAGATTTCTTTTAAATATATTTGCAATCCAATTTAATATTAACTTTTAATCTTATTTCATACTTCATTTTCACATACTTCATAAATTTATTTCATGAATTTCATTTTAATACTTTTTCTTAGAATATATATAAGATTTTAATATAAAAAACTATGGGAATTATATTATTTAAAATTTCTAAAATATATATAATCAATAAATACATATCAATAAATCGCACGTGAAACTAAATCATGAAAACATATTTCAGTATTGAAAATTTATTTTATATAATATTATTTGAATAAATACGTGCAAAAAACATATATTTTCAAAATACAATTCTTTTTAATGAAAAATTGGATACAATATAATATAATATAATAAAATAGAATAAATTATAATTTAATTACCTTTTAACCTTAAAATATGAATGTGACTAAGTGCTGAGTCAAAAGAAAATGTCTTATTCAAATCATCATAAAACATACATTTGAATAAAAAATTAATTGCTTTGTAGTATTTTAAACGATCGATAATTAGCATGTGCACTTAAAAAAGTTGATATTTTTAATCAATTTAATCAAATTGTCAATTCGACTACAGTAACACGTTTACATTTATATACATATAGAACTATAACCTATAGAACTTTATATATATATTGATAAGTGTGAATACGTATAAACTACATCTATAAAAATGTCTAATCATTAGCTTGTTAAATAGTAGAGATATGCAAATTTTTTCATTACATCATTAAAATTTATTCCCCTATATAATACTAATGATATATTTAATATTTTATATTTTATACATATATAATAATCAACTAGATATTAACCAATCAGCGTTCCTTCAAAAAATTACAAATATATAAATTTTACTAAATGAATAATTTTCAAATAAAATATAAAAATTTTTATCTTTTATATTTTATATTAGTAAAAAATATGATATATAAATATATAGTTCATAATAATTAAAAATAAAAATTCAAATTTAAGACAATAGAAAAATAATATTTATTTATGTTGGTATGAAATTAATAGGTGATTTTAAGATTGAGATATGTAGTTCTTGCATCTTTATATAGTTCAAGTTAAATACTAAATATTATTGACTGTTTATACTAACATTCGTTAGTATATGTAATTTTTTATTATATCAGTCAATTAACAATTTTTATATATTTTATATATATATATTTATAACAATCTATATATATATATATATATAATAATGAAGATTATTTGAAAGTTAAAATTATTAATTTTTTATTGGTTTAAAACGAGTCATTAATTTATTATATAAATAAAAGTCAAAATTTATATTTATAAAAATATACAATGAAAAAATGGCAGATATTTTAACACCATTTGTATATTGGGCTCAAACAGAACATCAAATTACATTAAAGGTAGAATTGACTGATACTTGGGTATGTAATTTCTAGTATGTGCTCTCTATTATTTATAGATTTGTATAGATCAAACTATACTTTGTAGCGTGTTAAAGTTTCAATGAATGAGAACAAATTAAAGGTTACTGTTTATGGGCAAGGTGCTAGAGGTCTTAATAAATATGGATTTAGCTTGGATTTACATTCATCTATTAATGTTGAGGTAACATATATATTGTTTAGATAAATTATATGATTATGATTTATATTAGTATATTAGTAACAGTGTAATATATAAATTTTACAAAAGCTGCTTTAGAAATATTTCTTTAATTTCAATGAAGTTAAATATATTAGTAGATCTTTATATATAATAATTATAATCATAATTACTATGGTTAATTAATTAATAAAATATATATAAAGTTTGGAAAAATTACAAGAACAATATATATTGTAATGAAATAATAAAAGCACTTGATTTTCAAGATTTGAAATATTAAATGTTAAAAAATTTGATATATGAGTTATTTTCTGTTCTTACTTATTTTATTTGAAAGTTCAATGCTCATGCTATTTTATTGTAGATATTATTTAAGATGCTTTATTATTTGAATACACATCTGTCTTTGTACATATCTGTATTTTACAAACTTTATATGAATTATAATTGATTGAATTTCTATAGCTAAAATTTTAGTTATGATTATTATACATATATATTTATCAATTAAATTTCATTAAAACTATTGGATATTATTAAAGCAATCATTGGAGAAAGCATATAAAGTTATATAATGCATGTTTTAATAAATTTCATTATATTTTTGTCCCACATTTTTTTTGTGCATTATTTTTTTTATTTATAATAATATATAGAAACTTACAAATTCTAAAAAAGATAAAAGGATATAATATTAAATATATTTCATATCAAGTTTTAACAAATTTTTTTTTTTAATAAATAAATTAATTTAAAATTAATAAAAAAATATAAATAAAAAAACTAAAGTTGTAAAATACACATTGTAAAACCAGAATTATTATTGATTTAATTTAAAAAAAATATTTTAAAAATAAATAACAAAGATTCTATGTTCATTAAATAATGAGGCAAATTAATATAATTAAATTAGAATCAAAAATTTTGATATTTTAAAAATAGTTTTTAAAATTATTTTAAAATTAGTATTTATCAAAAATTATAAAAAAACATTATAATGTTTAAAAAAATAATGAATTTAAAAAAATAAAATAAAATAGATATAACAATAATATAATGTAACAATAATATAACACAAAAATAAAACTTGTGATAGATAAATGAATAATGTTTTTTAATATATATACAAGTTTATTGATTAATTTAAATTTTAAATATTATATGAATATATTTTTGAAATATAAAATATATAAATTGTTGGATTTAATTTTCATTTTTTTTGTTTATTGTTTATTCTAGTAAAACAATAATATTATTTAAAAATTCTTTTTTAATCAAATTATATTAATATATTTTATTAATATATTTCAAAAATATTAAAAAAAAAATAATATTTTTTATATATTATATAAAAATTAAATAAAGAAAAAAGAAAAATCAATAGAATCTAAAAAATAAAAATTACAATATAAAATAATAAAATTATAAATGCAATATAATAATACATGCAAAATAGTAGTTAGATATAATATAATGTCAATCTGTATATTAATAAAAAAATTGATCAACTTTCCATCAATTATATCAATTAATTTTACATTTAAATAAATTTTTATATTTATTATGAATTATTAATCTCTAACTTATATAGAATTATAAAAATAATCTGTTTATTACATTATTAAACTTTTTAAAGCATTTTACATCTTAATATTTTAATATTAATATTTTATTGATAATTGTATAATATATATATAATATATATAGTAATTGATTTTATTTATAATAAAATTATAATTTGTTGGAATTGGAATACAACATTTTATAGTTGTATGTATAATAATTTTATTTTTCTTCTTCTGTTTAATAATTAATATTTTTTTTAATATAAAATATAGATATAGAATAAATATAGAATAATCCATTTGAATTGTTTTATTATTATAACTATTTAGAATAGCTACAATTTTTTTTATATTTAACATTTTATTGAATCATAAAATAAATGAAATATTATTACTGCTTCCTTTTTTTTTTCCTTACTTTTTTATAGAATGTAATAAAAACATTTTGCACATAAACTTTATCTTTTATTATTATATAGTTAAAAATAAATATTTTGTTTTAAACATTATAAATATATTTACAAACTTATATATGATAATCTTAGTTATTTTTTAGATATAGATTAAATCTAGAACTCTTTTAAATATGTTTATTTTATGGAATCATTTTTTAAAATCTTAGATCATTTAAATTAAAATATTAAAATATTTTTTAAAAATAAAGTTCCTTTAGGATTCATGCCCATAAATATGCCTGCAATTTAATTATTTATTTATTTCTGTTATTGATCACTATGAATTTATGATATTTTATATGAAAATATGTAATATGCAAAATATATCATATTTATTTATATTTTTAATTATAATTTATTATAAAAAAAATTAATATAACATTTCAATGTTTTATCATTTAAAAAATTAATACTTATCATTATCATTATCAAAATTTTTAAAAATTCATTTTCATATTTCTTTAATTATATAGAATAAAATCAGATATTTAAAATAAATATTATTAAATTCAATAAAAATCTAATTAAATAATATGACAATAAAGAAAAAATAAATTATATCATTTAAAAAAAAGTGATAGATTCTCATCTCATTTAATTTAAGAAATAATGAAATCTCGAATATCCTGCAATGATTTTAAATAAAAAATAGTTCATATCACTTTATTCTATAATGATTTATTTTCCTCTAAGAATTAAAATTTAATATTACATATTAAAATTACTAAATATAATTATTATCATTTTTTTTAATTTATTTATTTTTATTTTTTAATAAAAATAGAACATTTTTTTATATTTTTTAAATATAAATAATACAAAAAAATTATTACAGGAAAGTAATTATAAAGTAACAGCTCGTCAAGTTGACTTTATATTGGGAAAAAAATGTCCTGCTTGGTGGCCAAGATTAACCAGTCAACCGCAAAAACCATCATGGTTAAAAATTGATTTTGATAAATGGACAAGCGAAGATTTAGATGATAATGAAGAAGAAAAGAGAGATGTATGTAGTGATTATCCTGACATGTATGATAAACTTCATAAAGAAGAGTTTGGTTATAAAAAAGGTATGATTTATTATAAAATGATTTTATACATATAAAATAAATTTTAATACTAATTTATAATTATTTTATTATACAGAAGATTTCAAAAAAGTATATCTAATTATTTATAACCTTTGTCAATTTGTTGGTTTTATATATATCCTTACTGTAATAGGAATTATGTATTCACGAGATGGGCCAGGTTAGTAATTATATGATCTGTTTATTTTAAATTTCATAGTTTCTAAAATGATCTAAAATTTTTAATATTATTGAATTGTAGCTTCTATGAAAGAAACATATATAGCTGTTGGAAATGCAATGAAATTTATACAACTTATACAATTCTTAGAAGTTATGCATGCATTATTTGATTACACTAAAAGTAGTACACTTGTAACATTTATACAAGTTGGAGGCAGAGCATTTATTTTATTTACTATGATTGAAGCTGAACCACGTATGCAAACAAAACCAGTTATTTTTTATCTTTTTCTTATTTGGAGTACAGTGGAAATAGTGAGATATCCTTATTATATCACACAATTACTTAAAATAGAGATTTCATTTTTAAAATGGTTAAGATATACAATATGGATGCCTTTATATCCATTAGGTTTTCTTTGTGAAGGAATTATAATATTAAGAAATATTCCCTACTTTGAAGAAACACAAAAATTTACTATCTCTTTACCAAACTCCTGGAATTTTGCATTTCATTTCCCATCATTTTTAAAAATATACTTACTGATATTTTGTTTACCTTTTATGTATATGCTAATGTCTCGTATGAATCAAATACGTTATAAAAAATTAGGCAAATCTAAGTTAAAAAAAAAATATTTATGATGTAATAAATAATATCAAAACTAAAATATTAGGAAATTCAATTAATGATTTAATTATGGTAATGGTACAATTTATTTTAGAATTAAAGTGAAATGAATAAATATAATATATTTAAATATATTTATTTTAAATTTATATTTATATGTCAAGATTTTAAATTTATAAATTTTTTTATTTAGAAAATTTGAAACATTTTATTTTTAATTTACATATTATTTATCTTTGTAGCTATAAATTTAAAAATAATACAAGTAGAGATTTAATGTATATATAGTATGTGATTTTGTAATTATAAATAAACCGAATATTGATAAAAAATTAATTTTTATTTTCCATTTATTTCTAGTTTATTAAATAGAATTGAATATCAGAGATTAAATGAAACAGTTAATCTTTGTAAATAAAAATTATTTGCTAATTTAAAAATTTTTTTTTAACTTTTTTTATTAACACTAAAAACTCACAAACGTTTAATAATAAAAGTTTAAACAATTTTAAATATTTCAATAGTTTGTATTTAATTAAAAAAAGAACGAAAAAAATCCTAAAGAATTATATACATATACATATATTTTAAAATTTATATTTGAATTTTTATAAAAAATATTAAAATGAATATATTGAATCTTAAATTTATAAATTCATCAAACTTGTCTTATTTTAATCGAATTGTTTCACATAACCTATTAAAAAGTCATTTGTAATATTAAAGAATATCAGAACTGAAATAAAAAGTTTTTTGTAAGAAAATATACATATATTCTTAGATAAAATATTATTAATCTAAAATTTCTTTCTTAATGTTAAAATAAAATAAAATTTTTGTTATATATTTACAATTTTATATATTATTATAGTCAATAAAAAAAAATATAAAAAAATTTTAAAATATAATTAATAAAACTAAGTATAATAAATTAATACTTTTTAATTATATTAAAATCATATTAATTATTAAATTAAGAATTTTTAATATAAATATAATCGTATATAATTCTTATAAATTTCAATTTCTAATTAAAAATATCTAATTCATAAATCACAATCAATAATATATGTATAATTATTACATTCATATGTAATATGTACACATGTGTATATATATGTATATATATATATGTATACATATGTATACATATATATAATATAAATAAATAAAATTGTGGTAATACAAAATTTTTTTTTGAATTCAGCAATTTAATTTATTGATTACTTTCTCAGCTGAACACAAAACCTTATATCCGGTTTAATAGCGAGAAAAATCTTTGTTTACTGTATGGTGAAAAGTATCACGTGGGAATATTGTATATTTAATGTATGAAAGAATTAAATGATACATTTTTTTTTTTATTTTTTGATAATATGGACATGTTTGAATTAAGTATTTGGAAAGGTGATTGGGGTTTACCATCAGTTGACACGGAATGTTTACAGGTTCTGGTATGTAATTTATTTAGGTTATATTTTTAATATAATTTCATTAATATAGACATTTTTAAATGCTTTGATTATTTTTAAATTTTGTAAAAACAAGAATAATAATTATAGTTTATAAATATAATAAAATATATAAAATATAATTGTTTATTAATATTGTATAAAATATATTTTTTTTAATTGTCAACAATTTAAGTATTTATAAATAAATAAATATATATATGTAATCATGATATATTTAAATTTAACTTATTTTTAATTTTATAGAATTTAAAATAATTTTACATTTAATATATTTTTAATTAATATTAACTCTCAACTTTAAATTTTCAAATTTATTATAAATTTATGATAACATTGTTTAAAATAAATGTATTCTAATATTTATATAAAATATATATATATATTATATGTTTATATTTAAAAAATATATATATATAAGATGAAAATTTAAAAATTATAATAATAATATATTATTTTTATTATTGAAAAATTTTGTTTGAACAATGTATATAAGAGTAATATATATGTTTGATATAATATAATTTTTGATATCTTATAAACATTTTATGTAAATAATTTATATATTTAAATAAATTAATTGTTATAATATATTATAAAATCATATACATTTAAATATTTCTTAAGAATAAAAGTCTTATAGTTATATTAATATAAATTATATAAATTATATCAATGTTAAAAATATTTGATGAATATTTTTTATATGATAAATTCTAAAACATAATATATAACATTAAATATTATATAAATTTTTATATTCTTATAAGAAATTACTAAAATTACATATCATGAAAAAGTTAGAAATCAATTAATTAATCAGAATAATTCAAGAGATTTTATATAATTTTATATAATTAAATGTCATACATTTTATTAATCGTTATTAATTATATTTTATTAATTGTTATTAATTTGTTACATTTTTTTAACTAACCTTGGTCTATTTATTATTATTACTATTTATTATATATAATATATATATATATATATATATATATTAATATCACAAACTTAAAAAAAAATAAAAATTATATTAATTCTAATTTCAAATTAATTAATTAATATTATTATTAGTATTAATTTTATGAATTTAAATATTTTGATATTAAATAAGCATTGTTACAAACAAGTTAATTAACATTAATTAATACTTTATTTTTTCAGGTTTATGCCAAATTCAATGGTATACCTTTGAAAATTAATTCAGCTGGTAATCCATTTACAACACCCAATGGCAGCTTACCTGTATTAAAGACTAGAAATGGTACATTCAATGCAGTCAAAGATATAATAGAATTTTTTAGAAAAGAACGTTATAATACAGAATACGAATTAAGTCGAAAACAATGTGCAAAGGTTATGGCTTATGGTACAATGTTAAAAGAAAAATTATTTCCGGCATTACAGTTTATTTGGTATGTATATTATATATGATGTTCTTTAGCTTTATAATTATTCATTTATTAATTATTAAAATTTATTTATTTATTAATATTCATACACTTCATATAAAATAGTTAACATCACTCAGAATGTTAGACAGTCGCTCTTGCGCACACGCACTTATCCTTCTACTTTATCCATACTCATAGTATATTCTTCTAGTACAATTTATTCCATAAAATAAAATGGTTTAACACTACTTTATTAACGAAATCGATAATATGATAGATATAAAAAAAAATATAGCATTTGATTTTAATTCTATTGTCCTTATTGGACATTATTGGTCTCCCTTAATAATATCCATGCGTTTGATTCTTATACTTATGTTATTTTCATAAAAAATTAAGAATAGTAAATAATAATAATAATTAATAATTAAATAATGCGACACGATTTTTTTATAGAAATTCATTGCTTGATATTTAATTTATAATCAATAAATTTATAATTTTTTTTAATTTTAATTTTTTTAATCTGAAAATTTATTTAACATAATAATAAGATCTTTTTAAAATATTTATACATTAATATTTCTAAAGTCATCATAATAATATGTATTATAAAAAAAATAATTTTGTTAATATATAAATCAATATATAAATTTAATTAATTATAATATTGATTTTTGTTTACATAATACTAAAATTGATATTAAAGTATTAATTTTTTTAGGTGGATAGATGAAAAAAATGTAAATGAATTAATAAGACCATGGTATTGTAAAGCATTGCCTTTTCCATTTAATTTTTATTATCCAGGAAAATTCGAACGACAAGCCCATACTATGTTTGTAACTTTATATCCACTAGAAGATAATATAACTGCTATAGAAAATAAGGTAATGATAAAATATTGATTTTTTAAATTAAAAATATTTTAATTTCAATTTATTTTTTTATTAATTTTATAATATATATAAATGTATTCAACATAATGAGATAAATAAAATTAATCAATCTGAAAACTATGTATTTATAAACATTCTTTATTTTTTAAATTTTAATAAATATAAATAAATAATTATAATAAATAATGCATATAATGGAATATAGGTCTATTCTGAAGCACAAAAATGTTTAACACTATTATCTACAAGTCTTGGAGATTCACAATATTTTTTGGGTCAAAAACCTACAATATTAGATGCTATTGTATATTCTTATTTGGCTCCTTTGCTCAAAGCTCCTTTACCAAATCCAGCACTTCAAAATCATTTAAAAGCATGTACAAATTTAGTAACATTCATTTCACGCATATCAGAAAAATATTTTGCAAATGAATGTTGTGAATATAAAGCCAAAGAAAATGCTCAAAATATAAGAAAATATTCACAAAATGAGTTTCCTAATAAAAGACGTAACCAACTTTTTGCTGGTTTATTTACTACTTTGGTAATGGCAACTTACATGTTTTCAACTGGAATATTAGAGGTAAATATTTTTCAATTAATTAATTATTTATAATTTATAATTTAACTAATATCTTATTTATGCCAAATAAATAACATTAAAATGAAATATTAATCAAAATCAAATATTATTTTATTTAAAAATTATTTAATATATATAGCATTTATTAAAAATAATTTATTTTATTATGAAAATGATTTTAGAAATGGAAACTAGTAAGAATTCCTCTAAGACATAGGAGATAAAAAATCAAGACTTTTTTATTCAACTATGGATTTATGTTTGAGATAAGAAGAAATTACAAGTATGTAAAATAATACTTTAATTTTTTTATTTAATCTCATTATATTTATACAACTAGATGTAGAAAAATCAGAAACATTCTCTCCAACAGAATATTTTATATTTATATCTTATATAATGATTAATATATAAAGATTAAAATTATAAATATTTGTTAAAGGTAACAGTAAAGGATAGTCAAATTCCAGATGTATTTACAGAAGTTATATCTATCAATGATAAATAAAATAAAAAATTACAAAAATAAAAATTATTCAAACGAAAATTACTTCATTGAAAAGATAAGTTTTATTTAACATTAATATAATTTTTTATTTTTTGTTACTACAATTTTCTTTTAATATTATTATCAATAGAGTGTAATTATTATCAAATATTATATGTAATAATTCAAACTAATTCCAAGTTGTAAAAATAAATATTTAAAACAAAAATATATATATAATAATTCAATTGTTATTAATTTTGTATTTTAATAAGATGCCTGATGTAGCTTGCTGAATTTCCTCAAGAAAGCTTGCAGAATTATGGATAATAGTACCACCTAAAATAATTTTTATTCCAGGATTTTGTTTATTTAAATTATAAACAGTTAAACTTTCTTCATATGTTGTTCCTCCAATCATAAAAACAATAACATCTTGTGGCCTAAAATAAATATATATATATTTATATTATATTATATTATATTATATATATATTAAAAATATATTTTTTATTTTCAATTTAGATAAAACAATATATTACAATTTACCTTTTTGACATTACTGTATTTCCAAGGTATGGAAATGTTTGTAAACTTAATTTTCCTTTTATTAAATCTTCAAGAGTTTCATTTAATAAGGGAGTATGTTGAGTATAAATATTATCTACTCCACTTAAACCTTTGAATAATTTTTTAGTAATCTTAGCTACTGATTCTCGATCAAATAAATTACTTTGTCTTGCATTAATTCCACTATATTCTAATATGCTGTATATAAGCTAAATCATGATCTTGAAATTATTAATCTTGAAACTTATATCAAATATACAATCAAAATAATTTTTATATACCTTAATATACTTTTCTGAAACAGCTCTGCTCTTTAATAAATTTAATAAACCATTAATATCATTATTTGTATATTTTTCGTAATGAAGTGCATAAAGCATGACCAATCTTACAGCATCAATATCTCGTATTTGTTGATTATTAATAAGTTCTTTTATTTTTTGCAACTTTATTAATAAAAAAAAATATAATTATTATTAAATAACATTGAAAAGCATAATAGTAACAAACATAATTTGTTAAATTTACTACACCTGCATAGAATGATCACTTTGACAACTAAGTTCTTGTTCTAATTCTGATACTTGCAGTAAATGATGTCTTTCAACAAGTGAAGAAAGTTCTCCAACTACCGTAACATGTTTTGAAACAGTGCCTGATAATTTTTTAAATAATGGATAGGTTTCTACAAAATTTTTCATATCAGCTATACTTTCTACTTTTTGATGCTTCTTGGCTTTTTTTTGAAATTCATCCATCAATTCTTTTATAGTTTGTCCAATTTCTCCAAAGTTCAGATATAAATTCTATTCAAACACATTCTTGTTTTAAAAATGAAAGAGATAAAAAATTATATTTATAGTGGCTCATATTGAAAATCATCCACTATTCTTGTTTACTTATTTGTCTCTATAAAATCCACTAAACATAAATAAAATATGTTTATAATCAATATAGAAACACTCTAATCTGATTATTATAAAATATGACTTAGAAATATAAAATTTTATAGAGTAATAATGAAAGAAGAATATAATAATATACAGGATGATTCATACAAGTATAACATAAATTATATATGTATAATATATATGTATATTATATAAATCAATGATTTTTTTTTTACAAATGCAATAACGAAATGGAAAAATGTTTATAAAAAATTAATAATTAAAATAATAAAAGATAAATAAATTTTTTCTTAAATATTTCAAATTAATTTTTCAATCATGTTAATTTTTTATAGAATAATAAAACAATTTAACATATGCAAAAAAAAAGAAAATATCTAATCTTTAAAAATATAGTGCAACTATAAATATAGATAAATTATGTTTTAGAAAAACATATAATCATGAATATTCCATCTTATTTGTCTTTTTTCTTATATTTTTTTTGAATTTCAACTAAAAAAAAAGAAGATATAATTTGTTACAATATTATATGAATCACCTTGTAATATATAAAAATTTGTAAAAATACATAAGAAATTAAAGCCATAAGTAAGGTCACACTAAGAGTCGTCCATTTGTTTTATTTATAAAACTTAAAGATTAATCTGAAGTCTATAAAAACTTAATATTTGTAAATTATTTTGTACTATTTTCTACAATTTTTAATTTATTATATATAATATTAATTTATTATACATTGATTTTATAAGATTTTATATTTACTAGAAATATTATTGGAATATTTTTTATATTTCACTTATGTTGTTTAATTTTAATTTATAGTTCATATTATGAATATGTATAATTTATATCTATAATTATAATATATATATTCAAATGTGAAGAGATAAAGCTATTACCTTCCATGACCTTTGGATAAATATATAAAATACACAAATATTCTTTTATTACTGTGATCTTGTATTTTGAATTATTTTAATAAATATAAATTTTAAATTTATATTTTAATATTATTAATTTTTAAATTTTCAGCATTTTATTTTAAATTTTTCAAGAATTTCTAGATATTTATTTATTTATGTTTTCTTTGATAAAATATTAATATAAATTATTGATTCCTACTATGCATTCTTATAAAATAATTAATCCATTATCTTTTCGAACTATAGAAATAATATTTTTTTATATTCAATTCTAACTTTATATTTAATATTTAATTAAACCATTTTTTCAGAAAAAAAATTCATACTTATGTATTTTATGTAAATTCTAGAAAAATAAAGGTCATGGACGATTTTCAGTGTGAGCCAAAATATATAAAATACATATACATGTAAATAAAATGATAATAGATATACTCTTACATTTGCATAAAATTCATCATGTTCTGCACTAAGAACAACTTCTTTTAATTCCTTTGAAATACCTTTTACATGTGATAAATTAACACGATTATTATTAATAGTTAATAATTCATGAACCATTGCTTGGTAAGTCCATTGATTTAATAAAGGTGTAACAGGATCATCTCTTCTGTCAAGTATTAATAAAACTGGTGTGGAATCTTGTCTAAATTCAAATGAATTTGATTCTTTACTTAGTACTTCACGAATTTTTTCTGCTAATCTCTTTGCCATTTCAGAACTGTTTTGATATCGTATATAAGGGCATCTTTTAATTGACAATAATACTGAAATTAAGCCTAAGACAGTTCTATGTAGATGTACTGGATTCCATAACAAACCTTAATATAACATAATAGAAAAAAATAATATTATTATTTATATTTAAATTATTTATTGAATATATTATTGAATTAATATAATTATTGAATTGCTATAATTTCAAACAATTTGAGTCAATTAATAAAAAATTAATTATAAATATAAAATAATATTTTTCCATATAAAAATTTATTTTTGAATATAAGAAATGCAATGAAATAGGGATTAAGAGGATAAGAAACATGGAGAAAAATTAGCAGCATAAAACAGAAAGACTCTTTTTTTACATTATGTAATAAAGATGAACAACATTATTAAAAATACATATATACATATCTATAAAATTTTCAATTAAATAAATAAATCATTAATATAAGATTTATTACCTTGTGAACATGTATTAATTCCGAGTGAAAATAAATGAGGACTAATTGCTAAATAATCTGCATAATATTCATGAATTTCTCTTACTACTTCTTGTTCATCACTTTCTGCCAAAAGTTTAATATCAGCTTTTGCAATGATATTACTGAAATCTAAATAACAACATAATAATAAATTGAATAGAATAAAATATATTGTTTACTTATAATATATTATTATAAGTATTTAACACAATATAAAAATTTATTTATATATTATTTATAAATTAATTAATAAAAAAATTAATGTAGTTTTTTTAATAATAAAGATCAATTCAAGAACATCATATTATAAGTTGTTGAATTTGTTTTTTTATCAGCAATAAAGTAATATTAAAAAACATAAAAACATTAACATTGAAGAAAACTCAAAAAATCTTAAAAAAAAAAATGAAATAAAAAAATCAAATTGTATTCATTCAATGCATTTAAAATGCAACATAATCCACTAAAACATTTTTTGACTTAATTAATAAGTAAGTTATTTTAGATAGTTTTAGATTTTTAGTAATTTAGAAACAAATAATTTTTGTACCAATATTTATTTCATTTTTATTTCTTGTCATAATATATAAACTTTGATGTTCTTTTATTGATTACAATTTTATATCTTAAAAATAAATAAGTGAATATAAAAAAGAAAAAATATATTATACTTACAAATATAATATGTTCCATATTTAGGATATTTTAACTCATTACAAAGATATTCAACATTTTCTTTGGTTGGTCTTATAAAAACTATACATTTCAAATGCTTTAATCCTTCATTACGAACATTTGTATCAATTCTTTCAAATAAATAAACTTCTTTGAGGAATATTTCTGATTGACTATAAAGTAAACTTACTATACTTGTCTGAAAAAGATATATAAATTTTCTTTTAAATTTATATATATATAATAATAATATTTAAATATTAATCTAAAAATAATTTTATATTATATTTATGATATTTACTCTATAAAAAAAGGAGTTTTATAAATATATTTATAAAAGTATTATTATTATTTGTAAATATGTTTATTAAAATATTATAAAATTCAATGCATAACAAAAAATTTAGTAAAATTTTTAAAATTTCAATAGATTATATTTTCATTTTCTACTTTTAATAATATTGATACAATGCATTTTACTATTTGCATATATAAATTAATAGATATATCATAAATTTATAATTCTAATTATTTTGTAATAATTAGTAATAATTTGTAATAATGTAATATAATTAGTAAATAATGATTATGTTATAGTTTTAAATATTATTTAAAATATGTTGTATTTACCGTCTGTTTATCCATCAAAAGAACTTTCATACCAGGACCACTTTCTTCTGTCATTCGAGTAACATAAAACTTTAAAGCAGTTATCAAATTCATTTTGTCGTTTTTGTTTAACTTTATATGACTAAT